AAACTAGAGCAATTAAAAGATGGCTTTAAATGTATTAAAAATATATCTAAATTTAGAACTACTTTTTTTAGCTGTTCCTTATTAATGAAATTATGCAAGACCATCTTGAAAAATCTGGGTATCCAGAAGGGATTTAGGACACCTGAGAAATCATTTTGCCAGGCACTACACCAGAATTTCTTCTGTGCAAGGAAGAAAGGTGACTAAAATGAAAAACAAGTAATACCACTCAGAATAATGCATGAAGAAAGAAGATATTTTATAATTGCTTAACTTTACACTTTCACCAGAGAAGAAGCCTTTTCAATCATGATGAGACAGCACAACTCAGCACAGAGTACATCAGTGACTTACAGCACTGCAGACACACCAGGGAGGGGATTTGCCTTGTCCAAAATACACAACTTCTGGGCAGAACAAATTAAAGCAAGCAGAGTGCAATAAAGCAGCTACATGGCTTCTTACTAGGTAAGTTGCCACTGTCTCCTGCAAATGCCCTAGAGGTTAGGGCTGCACAGAGCTCTCTTCCTCAGGGACTTCAGCTCCCTCTAAGGCTATGTTCTGTGTTTAGCTTGATTATTCAAGAAACTGTGTATTTTATTGACATTTGGAAGACTGACATACCCTTATAATTTTTCTATTTTTATAGATGTTTTTGCCATAATAATGCCAATTATTTTCTTCTAGTCTTCTAAATTCTCTGTTCACAAAGTAAAAATATCCAAGAGAAGATAGTCTTGCTATGTTCTACATTCTCACCCTCAGATTCTAAAGAAATTAATTACAATGGTAGCATTTTCAGTTAATGTCCTGTCTTTCTTAATCAGTCTCCATGTACACAATAGAATATGAGCACAAAGTGGATAAAAAAAGGTGCACGTGGGATAATTTGTCCACCTTAGAGACATTTGGACAATATGTCTTTTATTACTCAATTACTTTCTTAGATTTCTCAGAGGCTGTGGAATATTCAGGGTCACTTGCCTTTACAAGGAGAACAAGCAGGCCAGAATCCCCTCAGGCCAGGAACTATCAAAAATGAAGAATCTTTTTCTAAAACTGATGTGAAAAAAGATAAACCACGACTAATGCAACAGCGTGGTAGTCTAAAGTCTCAGCATGCAGGCTGCACACAAGAATTTTCAAGATCATGTATCTGATTGTGAATCAGGGGAATTAGTTCCATGAATTATAAGAGAAGGTTGGACAGACTAGAGATCATAACTGTTACATAAAATTTGTTGAAAATAATTTAGGAAGATTGGTGTCTGATGGTCTGTTAAAAATGTCAGCAATGCCTTTTTCAGGCAGAATACAGAAGCTTTTTCCCTTTTGAGGAGGAATGGAGGTTTCTGATTTACTGCAGACCAGTTGGGTGCAGGACGCACCTTCCCCTAAAAGATGGCAGAAAGCCATTTTTTACTCTAGGTCTTGGGCAGCTGATTTAGCAGGGAAGGGAAGAGAATGAAGGTAAAATGAGCTAAAACAGCTAGGAAAGGAGCTTCTAGTATTTGAATGCAGAAATACACGTACTGCAGCTGTGGCATTACAGAGGCAATTAAATGGGTGTTCCATAATCTCAGCTTGACTCACAAGCCGAATGGGATGTATCATTTTAAAATTCTGCCTTCATGTGCTACATACGTGAATAAGTGCTGTATAATAATGTTCCAGCTCCAGATTAGTGGAGACAACATGACTAAGCGCGCTATTTTAATCACCTTTGCAACGATGATTACTGTAAGACGCTTCTGAGGATCTTTAATCCAAGACTAGTCATTCATCTCCATTTCTTTCTTGTCACAATCCACCCAGATGCTGTCTAACATGACCTTTCTGCTCCTATTTCACTGTGCTGTTTGCCAGAAGATTTTTTTTGATTCCCATGCTACTTCGTAACAAATATGCCTTATTGCTGTCTTTATATAGACTGAAAAATAGTGGTTATCTCAATATCTATGATAATCTGTTTAAAGAAGTACAGTGAAAGAGATTGCACAGGAAATGCTTTTATTTAATTCTGCTTCTTCCATCTGCTCTACCTTTGTTTTTAGAAAGGGAGAAAAGCAGATGCAGGATGTTTTTGTGGAAGAACAGGAATTTTGGATAAAACTGCTCATTTACTAAAGGATTGTCGGTGGGATACCATCACTGCAAAGCAACTCACTGCAGAAATAACCTTTATTTCCCTTTGTGCTACCAAATTTGTATACTGATAAATAACAGTGATCCTTACCTATTCTCTCAGGATGTGAAGCTCATACAGGAAAAAAAAAATTGCAAAACCTGCATTCATTTGATCCAAGTTTTTGCTACATCCTTACTATTCATGTAATAAAATAATGCTGATCCCAAACTGGTGATCTCAGAGGGCCTCAGGTAAGCCAGCAACATCTTTTTATGAGAATTATGTTAAAGAGGCTTACCCAAAATTCAAATGGAGGGCTGTGTGTTATCTTCTGTTCTTTACAGAAAGTGTAGAAGAAGTGATGGACCAAAACTTCCTATATATCTGAGAGCTCCCATTCTGCTATGCTCCAACAGATGGCAGGGCTTCCAGGAATTTCTAGGGATTTCCTGCTGGGATCCTATGTAAGGTATGGTTGTCCCTCTGCGTGAAAAAAAGGCAGAAGAACAAGCCATCATAAAGCATAAGGGATATCCTTGTGTTATTTTGCTAAATGAATTTAAATGAATTTATGGAATTTAAGAAAGAGAAAGCTGTAATTACAATTTTTGACTGCTAGATAGTGTTGCTGATTTTTTAAGCACATCTCTATAAAGGGCAAAATATATAAGTTCTTATTCTAAAGATAGCATTTGTTGTCAGAGCATTACCTGTTCTAAGTGGTGGGATAGCTCTGGAAAAATAACACGCATTTAATGGTGTCTATTAGATAGTCAAGATAATAATTTACTTATCGGGAACACCTTCACAGAGTTTTGTGTAAGGTTGTCAGACAGAGCATCTGCTAACTACTTGAAATAAAAACAAGGCCATTAAGATATCCAGGTCGGAGAGGAATAATAGTCTGTGGAAACTCTGGCAATGCACTGCCCTCAGATCTCTTTTTGTAGTTCCAATAGTAGTTACTTTCTGAAACAAGAAGACTGAAAGCAGTACTTGCTCAATGTCTGGAAACACGGAGTTAATTTCTACCTGAGACTACAGAGGTGAACAAAAATGAAGGTCAAATACCTGCTTCAATAGATCTGACTGATATTATTTAAGACACTACATTACTACTTGTCTTGCTGGTAGCAGCAGCCCTAAAATGCTATTTGAAAAGAGTGGCAAGAGATCACTGGCAATTAAGATATGTAAATGAATGTTTCTGATTTAGCAAACTTATAGAATCTTAGATTATGTTGAATGAACTCTGTGATACACTTAGAGTTTGCCGTAAAATATATGTAATTTCCTTTCTTTAGACTAGCATATGTTTGATTTTAGTTACCATAGAGAAGGAAGAGCCATAGCGGAAATGACAGACAATTTGAAATTCTTACATATTTCAAGTCTACAGAGAATTTAAGAATATTCTGAATTTTGAATTAGTCCCACTGAAGCATTTTTTAATAAATTTAGTTACTTATGGTCAAAGTACATGATATTAAATGTCATTATGACCCTAATGGTGTTTGCAGTATAAGTCTATACTAATGAACATATTCTTATGCATAACTTCCTTTTTAAATTATACTAACCACTACAAAACTGTGGAGTATGTAATCAATAGATTTTGTTCACTTCTGTCTCTACCAAAAAATATTAGAGGTAAAGGGCAGCCCAATCAAATTTTAGTGAAGTATTTCATTCCATTATGGAGTGTGTGAATTAGGTAACTGGGCCAAAAGTAACCAGCTTAATTCACCATGATGTATCAGCAAAACTGAACAACTGCCTTGGGGTATTAGTGCCTTAGAGTTAAAATTTTTAATCACTATATATAAATAATCACATGTCAGAAATATGCTTCTGATTTAGTATATGATTTAGAATAACAGACATATATATTACTCCTAAACCTGTCCTAGAGTCAAGTATTAGTTTAAGAGCTGGTTCCTTTAAATGGTACCAGAGTAGAAAACCTGTGAAGGCAAAAGTGAGCATACAGTTGCATCCAGATATTTTGGGCTGGTATTCAGTGCTGATGATATGAACTTGGACACTAAGGGATACTAAATTGCTTTCCTTAACTACAGCAGACAATACCTCAGAATTGCAAATGAGCTTTCCTCCCTCCCTCCTCCCCCAGTTTGCAAGATCTAAATATTCCCATGACAAAGTTACTTCAAAAAAAGTATGTCAAAGCACATTTGAAATGGCCAGTTCATGAGGTATATATCTACATGAGTGGAATTTCCAGAAATACTTACTTGAAAAAACGCTGACTCTACTGTGGCTGTGTTTAGACTCATTTTGAGGCTAGTTTTTGTGTGCCTATTCAGGCAAATGAGTCAAATAGCAGGACAGTTAACAAAAGAGAGAATAAGAACACAGAAAATTTTGAACTTAGAACACAGTCATAAAAATTTATAAGTTTCTTTTAACCAGTCTTGGAACACAACAATACTATGTGACTCATATATCCAATCAAAGCTCTTTAAAACAGCTTAGATGTTGAATTTAAAGTATTTGTGAAGAATATGAATACTAAAACTTACTCAGAAAATTTTTCTAATGAGTACATTTGAAAAAATTATAATATGTTCATGACAAAAACACATGCAGAAACAGAGCTAAAACTAATTAAATTAACTATTTCCCAGGAATTATTTGAAATGTCTAGTTTTACCAATATCATATACCAAAAACTTGCGAAATAAGAGTAATTATGACTTAAAGCAAGAATACTGTCAGCCCCTTCCAACTCACCAAATTCTGTGTTTCTGCAACAGCAGCCAACATTCACACCCTTGCTTGTGATGATATTATTTACATTTGTTTTTAGCTATGACAGAATACAATCAGTCATTTTTACTTAGTTTCTCATTTTTATTACACTTGTTTCTGAAAGAGCTCAGTATTGTTACAACTACTGGAAGCATGCTAGATGACTTAGAGTACAGAGAGAAGAAAATTAATTTTATGTCAATGAGTTTATTCTAAGAATTTTTTTACTTTAGCTTTCTGGCAATTTCTTATCAGAAAACCCAAAAGAGATTGATTATTTGCATATAATCAATGTGTACTATATATCTGGGTAAACATAGGGTCACAGACTTCTATTTAAACAGATAATGAAGCAGCAAAATAACTTCACTTGATACTGTGTGTAAAAATTAGTTACAACCCCTAAAACTGTTAATTTAGCATGAAACCTCAAATCATAAGACTAAATGGATATGCAACATCAACCCAGCAGTGTGGCTTTAGACCAACAGCCAATGAATGATCTGCAGAGCTCACTTAACCCCCACTAAATAGATTTCCTAATGCTCTGTAGTTGCTGGAAACAAAGAAAATAACCAGAGTGAAAAAAAACCAACCTTCAGATTGGAGATATGCTAATATTTCCCTAATCAATAACAAATTAGTAATGTGATGGTGCTTTGAGAAGGAGCTGGAAATTCCCTCAGAAGAAATGTATTCAAGATGTGCTCCACAGGAAAGAGGAAAGTTGTTTGGAAAGTCAGGATTTAAATTTGAACTTTGGGGATAATAGCCCACAGTAGGGCTTTTGAATGGTTTCTTTCTCTAACCAAGAAACTGTGAGGAGGAGACTGCTCTCCCTCAAGTCCACAAATCACAAACAGTTGCAAAGTGGAACAGCTGAATCAGTAGCTAAATAAAATAGAACAGATTTATTCGAGTAATTTTTTACTACACCTTCTGCAGTTTCAAAATTCACATTTGTATTTGAAGTAGATGACTTTGAGGGTGGCCTGAGAGATACAGTAATGCAGGAACAATAGGAGACACGATATCAGGTATATCATACAGGCAGAATGTTTTTGAATGAAAAGGTAAAGAGAGACAGAGAGGGCAGTGCAATGCACTGCAAAGATGATGATTTATTAATGCACTAAATTATTAAAATGGATGTTAGTTGTGAAATGTGAAAACCAATTGCTTCTATAAATTCAGGGTTGTTCTGTAATTCATTCTCATGATTCAACAATGGACATAAACAGTAACATGAAAAGCTGCCAATAGATTACTTCTTCTCATTTCCTCTTCCTTCTCCAGTAGAAGACAGAAGTATAATATGAAGAGCAATAAGCCTATTTATATATATATTTATATATATTTATCTATTCTTATATTCTAATAAGAATATATTTCTATATTTTGTATAGAAATAAAGAAATGGTTTCAGAGAAAAACTAGTCTTTGCTCACTAGCAGCAAAACTGTGATTCCCCTTGGTGCTTTGTAACAGTCCTGGCATTTCTCAGACAAAAAGAGTGAACCTGTGCTTACCTTTCCTATAGTCATAGCAGAATGAAGTTACCAAGAATTGAAGGTTCAGGATGTCTTGGGAGACCTACTTTTATCCCCTGAATAAAGGCCAACCACACTATGCTGGATGTTTGGTAAACAGGCAGGCAAATGCCACTTCAGACTGGCTGGTCATCAGAAAAGCACAGTGTGGACACAAACCCGGGTATCATTCTCTAAGAAGCAAAAATAAATAATACAGGATCTTTAAGGTTCTAAGATACAGACACCTGTGTTTGTATGACAGCAGGAAGGAACAGAGTAGTTTGAGGTTTGTATTTTTTTTCTAAGTTTTATAGGAGCTTGGAGGAATTTGCCTTCTGGAGGGTATGGATTCCTCCAGAAGGTTCTCAGAGATTTTCAGTCTCAAAAAGCAGAAGCAGGATACTCATGGAATATCACATGTTGCAGAAAAAACGGACTGTTATTCATGTTTAAAGAAAATATTTTTCCATATTTGCTTTTTTTTCTTTTTCCTACCAATTTTACAGGGGACAAAAGTTTTCTGCTTCTCTGCAACTTCAGATTTTATATACAATGCACTTGACCAAGGACACTGACAATTTGGCTAAGTGTTTTCATTTCTTAAAAAAAGTGATCTTAGGAGATTATTTTCTCTCTATCTTACTTTTTTTCCTGCAGTATTTTTTTTTCCTTGTTGCTACTGATCCCCTTTTTTCAGTACTGTTTTGATATGCTGAAGATACAAACTCTATGGAAAGTCAAAGGGGTTCACATCCTATTTTTGTTTACTCTTTCCCCCTTTCTTATTTCTCCTGGGCTTTTGAAATTCAGGCTATCTTCATAATTCCTTGCATAAAAGGAGGAAGATGCCTCAGTCTTCTGTTCTTCTGAAACCTCAGTTGCTATGCAGCTGAGCTCTCTCCTGGCTTCTGCTGTTGTATGACCATATGTAATGTCTTCTCACTTGGAAAAAAAAAGAAGAAAGATATGAGCAGGTTAGCAGTGCTATTGTGTATTCCATTTCTCATCAAGTTTTAGACATGCAACAGGTAAAAGACTGGCATTGAAGCCACTAATTCAGATCCTCTGGGTATCTCAATCTTGGTATTGATAAATCACCTTTATGGAAAGGCTCCTACTTAGAGGACCAAATCAGGGTACAGCAATAGATAATGCAAACCTGCATGTTTGATCCTAATCCAGAAGACCCTGTTTGCACTGGTTAGCATCAGTTACAGATTTAGAAGACTTCCTGGCTTCACAAGCTTATGCTATCAGTATTAGTAAATTCAGCAGACAAAGGCAAACTTAAACCAGCATGGGGAGAAAACCTTGATAATGTGAGGTGGCCACCAAAGTATTTACAGGCTGAAAACTAAACAAGCAGCTGTTCCAGTGCCATCATCTAAACATGTTGATCAATTCATTACTAGTAAAGAGACCACAAATAATAAAGTAGGCAACTTGCTTTCTAGTAAATTGATTTAACGTTTGCTATTTCTTCTTTGGAATACTCACATTCTGCAAGGCATTTATCTTTTACAGTAACAATGAGATACCATCTTTTTTCTGGGAGCTAGCATAGTTCTTACATCACAAGTGAGTATTAAAAACCATCAGCTTCTAAAAGTGAAATACAAAACTAGGAAACGGTTTATAAAGGATATTGTGACTGACATATGCAATCATAGAGAGAGACATTAATGAAACAACACATCAAGTCCTGGATGCTGTCTGCTAAAATTAAAAATTATTACATCAATTCCCAGAAAAAACACACACACATAAAAGCTGTGACATTAAAAAGCAAAATACCTTGTCTGGTGGCTTCACTTTTTGATAGCTCTCTGTTTCACTTATAGTAAGCTCTCCTGCAGGTCCAGAGAGGTGCTTTCACTTCCAGGGGTGCTCTTTCTCTTGATCACCATTTTGAATGCTTTCTGTAATACCTGCCCTCCCCTCATGATACAGGAGATTGTTCTTTGGTGCTGTTCAATAACATGGTAGGCTCTGCAAATGCAAAAAACTTCACAATCTATTCCAAATCATTTAGGAAGAAGCAGATGTATCAGCCTACCACAGAGATTCTTTTGCTTTCCAAACTTAGAAAGACATGGCTTAGCATTTGGTCCCATCACTCCTTGTTGCTGTGACCAACATCTGAATGATGCCTGGAATGCTTGCAATAATAAAGATGAGATGGTCCTCCAAGATGTAAGAGCCACTGCACCTCCTGCTTGGTTGTGGGTTTCAGAAGAAACAGCTTATATAGTAAATACTGACACAAAAATAGGTCTACTGGTCAAAAAGAACCAACACCACCTAGAAATACTGATAATACAGGTTCCAGAACCCATCAAAGTAATCAGAACTAATTCATTAAGTCTCAAGGGGTAAACATTTGCCTCCTCCTGGCTCAGGAACAACCTTTGCTGAAAACCATCCAGATGCAAGAAAAGTCATATCCTCCTGGAATCACTGCTATAGCACAGGAGAGGGAACTGGGTCGGAGTCTGAACAAAAGCTGAAGTCTGGGACTGCAGCTTCATATATTCCTGGTGTTTTAAGCTCTTCTGGGAAAATAGTCTTTTTTGTGCAGTAGGGAAAGAAAGAATTATAGTTCTCATAAAAACAAATACAGGCTGCTGCAAATCTAATTCACCCATTGCACCCAAGAGTAAAAGATCAGTGATCTGGATTTGATTAGCTACTGTATATATATATATTTTTTCCAAATTATTCTTTCTTTAAATTCACAAAACTGGATTACTTGGTTAGGTTGCTCACAAGTTGCCTTTATTTCATAATAAAATGGCAGTAAGACTGCATGAAAGAGAATAAGGTATAAGCTGGTCTTTGCCTTCCATTTCAGGCACCAGATTCTGCCAGTGCTCCAAGAGAAGGGATTTCATCAATTTATAATGCAAGGCAAGAAAAGAAAAGCAGCAACCCACTGAACAAGACTAAATTACAACTTGCCTTTGAATCAATGAGCAATGCCCATTAGCAAGCCTGAGGCCTGCAGAGAAAAGCTGCTAATTCCAGCAAGGATAGTTGTTTGTGGCTAAACTGCTCAGTGGAATGGAGCCAGGGAGTGAGCCCAGGCACCACAATGCTGATGTACATGTTAATTAACTGATAGCCTTCACCCTGGGATGGCAAATTAGCACTCTCTGTGGCACAGTTCTCAGGACAGCCTGCTCCAGGGACCATTCTCACCGGCTAGTTCAGACATTATCACCTGTTCTTTTGGAGGTAAGGATGAGATTTTTGCTGAATAGATGTCAATCAGCTCATGTCATTTAATTTCAGAACCCACAAACAGTCCTTAATCATGTTCAGTTTGTAATCTAACTCAGCCTCTCTGTGACTACTCTCAAAAAATCCTTCTTTAAATAGTTTCTAACTTTACAAGAATGTATCTTATCCTAAGTCCATCAACAGAGAATGGCCTTGATGGCTTTCTAAAACTATACACTGTGTCTTCATACACAGGACTTAACTGCTTTTCTTTAATCCTTAAAAGGCTCACATGCTCTGCTATTTTGTCAGTATTCTTACTGCAGTTAAAAATAGAAAAGAAGAAAATTCAAGTTTTGAAGTTGTAAATACTTCATGATAACTGAAAGTGTCAATCAGAGGATTTCAACGGACCAGTTAGCAGCAGGAAAGTTGCAGAAATATCACACAGAACTACATTTCTTGGAGTCTGTATCCATTTTAACATTTAGGAGTTTCTCCACAACTATGAGATATACAACCTTTACCTGAGTGGAAGTATTTTGCTTCAGAAATAAGATAAACTGCTTTCAAATCTTTTTTAGGTGAAACTTCTGCCTTCCCAATTGTCACCAAAAACCAAACTTAACCTCAAAAAGCATACAGACTCTGACTCCTCTGGCTTTTGCTTGCTTCTTTTAATGGAAAAGAACATTTCTTTGCTCAACTTATATGATGTATTTGATGTAGTAGAAACAAGAAGCTACTGGATCACTTCAAGAATGATCAGAAACATTCTAAAATTCTTCCTGCTCCACCCTTCAAATCAGCCCAGAGGATCACCACACCACTCAGATTTGGTGACTCATAAAAGTCAGAAGTTTTCTGGCAAATTACTCAACATGCAGTCACTGCTATGATGAGAACATTGCTCTCATCCCCAACCACTGCAGAAGAGATCACTATCCAGATGAAAAGGGAAAATTTTCCAATAGAACAGAGCTCAGTAACATGGAATCTGGATATCAGCACAATTATATTCCCCATCATACAGTCCCCATTGAGCAGTAGAGGTCAAAAGCAAAAATTCAGAATAAACCAACAGTTTAGCATGTGATAATTAGGCATGGGGGGTACCTATTTCCTTCCACTGACCTTGGAGAATGCCTACAAAGTAGCAGGGATACTAATATGCTTATTTTAAAGAATAGAATTACCAAATTATATATCTACATTTTTGTGAACTTAAATATAACAATAACTACTATATTTGTTAATAATAAGTACAGCATTTCATCCAACATAACTTATTTTCTTGCATTTGTAACTGCAAAAGAACGAAAGGGTAAGAATGTTATATTTTGTGGAAAGTGTCAACTTTCTACCAGCCTTCATAGCCTGATCAACTCAATTTTTAGAAACCTATGAAAGTTTGAAATTAATTTATATAAGTAGAAACAATAAGAAAACCACCAAGCTTCATATTCAACTTAGCTAAAGTTAAAAGAGCTGGATTGTCATACACAAAGGAACGACAAGCCAAAGTCAGATATCCTAGAAATTATCATCGAGTAGAAACATTTAAAATGTTCCTGTATCCTCTGTCCTGAGGAGTTTCTCCAAAGGCAAGCTGCTACATCTTGCAGTAGTGATCCTCAGTAAAGGTGTCTCTGTTATACCCAGATTTTGACATAGAGGATAAGGAAGAACAGAAGCTTGCATGGAGACATTGTAGCAACCTTCCAGTACCTGAACAGGGCCTAGAGGGAAGCTGGAGAGCAACTCTTCATCAGGAATAAGGAGTAATAGGTACAAATTGAAAGAGAGGAAATTTAGATTAGATATTAGGAAGAAATTATTGTGAGGGTGGTGAGACAATGCAGCAAGTTACCCAGGGAGGTTGTAGATGCCCCAACCCTGGCCATATTCAGGGTTAGATAAGCCCTTGAGCAGCATGGTCTAATGGAAGGTGTCCCTGCCCATGGCAGCAGGGGTTGGGAATAGATGATCTTTAAGGTCCATTTCTAACCCTTAACATTCTGTGATTCTATGATATAATCAAGCAGACTATTACATCCAAGTCTCTGAATGTGCCGGAAGATCTAAACAATCTCAAATTCCAATAAAAATGTAGTGATATATTGAAAACTATCTAAACAGCAAGGATGTTACATTCTGGACAATTCTAACAACTGAAGGAAGGACTCACTAGGTTCATGCCATTGCCATGTTGCAGTCAGCTCTCTACACTTCTGGTGAGGCCCAGAGCAGATCCCCTGTGCTGTCCATGGCCTCATGGAGGCCTCAGACACCACCATGGGGAAGCTCTGCACAATGACCCTGGGGCCATGTCCAATCCCAGCCCCCACACACCCTGCCTGATCCTGACACCCCCTCTGGGCCAATATCCCAGCACCTTCCCCAGAAGGTGCCCGATCCCTGGGGCTGTCCTGGTCCCCCACAAATGCCCTGTTCCTGGCTGGAGTGGTGAGTGAGGCTCGGCTGCCAGGCCCTGCCCTGCTGCCCTGGGCAGTCTTATGGAACCCTGTTGCTTCTGGACTCTTTCTAAATCTTGTAGTTCCTTTGTCTATTCTCAAAATCCATTCCTCTCCAGCAGCAATGGAGAAACATGACTTTAAGTGTTCTGCAAAGCGACTGCATCAAGCAGACGCCGGAGCTCTGTGACATGTGTTACACATCCGCTTAGCTCAGCTTGGAAACACTACGGTTTTAAATAACAGTGCTCGCGACTTCCGTTGCTATCTCACAGAGGGGTTGAGTCATTCCTGGCTCAGACACTGCCAGTCAGAGGGAAGAGCCGTGGGCAGGAGGCTGCTGTGTGCCCACACCACCCCATCTGCCAGGCACAGCTGACTGCTGGAGCGCTGTGGCACAGCCCGTGCAGTACCAAGCTCCCCCTGTGCCACCCCTGCCCCACTGTGAGACACAAAAATTCCCACTGGAACCAAGTCACAGGCTGAGAGGTACTGAAACACCAAGGGAACAGCTGCCCAGATGTGTGGCCTCAGCCTGTGCACAGCTACTGACAACACCACACCTGTGGTACCACAGGTTTCAACAGCTATTCCCTCAGATAAAATTCGAGATGGAACAATTCATTTCTAAAGGATACACCGGCTTCCATGGGGTAAGCCAGGATGTATGAGACCTCTGAAATCACACTGTCACGCTGCAGTGCATGCTAACAGAGCCTGGAAGGCTGTGTTTTGCTTGGTTTCTACCTGATCAAATGAAAATAAAATTTAAATCACTCATTATAAAATATGGATAATAAGCTAATTTTTCTTCTAGAGTGGACAGACAAACTGATTATGAGTCAGAAAGTCACTGTGCCAAACACTGTGCAGATAATATGGTGATCTCTCCTCTGAGGAGTTTGCAAAGTTAAAGTAGTTATGTCTGCAGAGTGAGCAATGGAAGAAGTAGCAGGCTTTAATTTACAGCTGATGGCTAAATTAGAAAGCAATCTGAAAACCTGGGTATCATTGAATGTGAGAGAGCTGACAAGTAGAGCAAAATTGTTGGAAACAAGATAATAATGGAAGATATATAACAGCAAGTGCCTAGATTATTCTCACCCATACTTTGTATCAACTCTTGGAGCAATTTTTCAAAATTATGTATAGTGATAAAGTAAAACACAAGTAATAAGGGCAGGCTGCCAAATAGTATTTAGAATACAAATCAAAGGAGTATGTTGGAGTACACATTAAAATTTAAACCTTTCATCTGCTACTTGTATGACAGTATTGTGAGAAAGACAGAAATGGAAAACTTTTGTGCCTAATTAAAACTCCCCGTTGAGATGCAAGTCATTAGAATTTCATATAAAGTGTTGTTACAGCAAGACAGTAATGAAGATGGGTTTTGGTAACTAAGACAAAGAGGACAGGGAGTTCAAGACAGACATTTGTCATTACAGATAATGGGATATTTTTAAACTAGTTTAATGCACGTGCATACTTTATAGTACCAGGGTAGAAATCACACTGAGGGCACAAATTCTCCTGCCTTTTCCAGAATACTAGGATACAATGCAATGAGCAGAAAAATAGAGGAAGAAGCAAAAAAGAATCCTCATTTATTCAAGCACCTCTTCAGTACTAGTAGGTACAAGCCAAAAGGATACGTGGGTCCTTCTGAATGTGTTCTCTAGTGCCTGGACACATTTCCTGAACACTGTTTCATTTACTAATATAGACAGAACTATGGAATTCACAGATCTGAAGTCACAACTAATTTGGTAATGTACTATAAGCCAGCGAGGTTATGTCTACTGCTTGCAACAAGTACAAATCCACCAGCAAACAGACACACAGAACTAAAGAGGTAGTATCCTGGGAGGTCCACATGGAAATGAATACAATAACAGCTTGGAAAAATATGTGTGAAATCAGAATTCTAATCAAAACCATTCTTAAATGTTTTTTGTCTCTAGTAGTTTCCAAAGTTCTCTTGGTGTATCAAGAACCATCAGGGCAATCTGTAATCTGCCAGGCTAGTCTGTGACATTTTATGTGTTCTCCTGAGAAACAACATACCATAAGAGGTTGCTCTAGAAATAAAGCTCACAATGACAAAAAAATATTTAGGACATAATAGAAATAGTCTTTTGAAATATCGAGAGAAAAGAAAAATACTTACAGGCTTCTCAGTTCAAGGTCAATTCTGACAATGCACATTACGAACCATACAAAAAAGCTTTTCCTGCCAAAATGACTGATCCCTGTGTTTTTTATTTTGAGCAGTAAGACAAGTTTGAAATGTCCAAATGTTGGCAGAAGATTATTTTTTTTTTCATATAACGATGTAAATTTTGTAGATCATTAATAATGGAATTCTCCAAGCATGTACTCTTCCTTAGCTTAAGGTAGGGCTTGTGGGCAGAGCTGAGGCAGAGGAGTGTTGTCGCAGCACCAGTGTTGTTGCTATCGCACTGCTTAGAAACAAAAGTTAAAAATAATGCTCCTTGCTAGTTCTTCACACTCACAAATGCCTTAGTATTGGTTACTATGATAGTTCCTGGTTATGTCAAGCAAGAGTAGTCAAAAGAATTGAAAAGCAAACCTCTACTAATTGTTAATTCATGAGATTCTGGGGTTTAATCATAAAGACTGAGTAGTTTTTTTGTAGTTGAAAGTTATGTCTGCTTCAACTTCACTAAGAAATTCTGGCAGAAATAAGTTTTGCAAATTCACACATTTCTGCACCTGGTACTGGCTATTGCATGCCTAATTTCATTTGAGTATAAAGAATTTCTGAATTGCAATATCTAGTTTTAGCTGGTTTTATGTTTTTCTAGAATAACCGAGGTCACAAGGGTATTTCAACACATGAATCACAAACAATTGCACATTTGATCTTCTATTTACCTGGTATTTTTAGGTAAGCTTCCTAGAGTTTAGAAGGCATTCACATCACACCTTTGTAATACTTCTGATATGGAGGGTTGGCTACAGCAAGATGAAAGAACGGGTTTGAGCTTTAGAGAAAGTGCACCACTTTTTTTTTATTATAGAAAGATGGAGCTTTCTATCTCTGCCAGCCAAATAATTGCTTTCTAAAACATGCCATAGCACTTTTCAGACTGGTTTACTTTTTTTGATGAATGTTGCAGTATTTTGAGATCCTTGCATGCAGGGAAATACCTCTACTTCTAGTCTTGTTCAATGACCAAAGTAGATCTCCATTCTACACCTACCATGAAAATAAGTAAGAAGATTATTCTGGCAAAGTGGGGCACCAATCCAGTTCCCTGCACAGGTTGTGTGGCATGGCATTAGATTAAAATAGCTGATGAGTAGATGATCTGCACCTTTATATTTAACAGAAAAAAAGCTTTCTTAACAGTGAGCTAAAGAAAAATAAAAGAGATACCAGATAAATCATAATTATCAGCAGTACATGATATAAGCTCTCATTTCTGGCCTGATGGGAGTCTGTGTTGCACTGTGGACCTCTGTGGGTCTGACAATAATTTCTAGTGTCTCAGCAGGACTATTGTCAATAGGTTTGTATTTGCTGCATATGAACCTACATGCCCACCAGAAACAAGACCACATATAGTGAATGATTTTAAAAAACATCAGAATTAGTTTTCTGGTGTGCAGACTGGGAATTTATCATATCTGTTATGCTTAATTTTCTATATTATTCTCTGTAATATTCCAAAACTCATTCACCAGCATATTAGGAAAATGCAAACATAGCTGAAACAAACTAAGTCCTGTAGTTTGTGGAAATATTTGTAGTAGTTACCTAGCATTAATAACATGAGCCTTATTTGCAAAAATAACCGTGTAACAATAGAAATGGCAAGAAAAAAACAGACAGAAAATTATTTTGTAGAACCAGCAACCCACTCTAAGCCTTCTCAAAAGGGTAGGATTTGACCACACTGACACATCTGGGAGAAACAGGTGTTTGGCAATAAGGCCTTTGGGTCGCAAACAGCAATTGCAGCCTTTAAAGAAGAGTACGAGTTGAGAATATACAAGCTGCATGCCTGAAGTTGCATATCTCAGGCCATCTGAGAGAAAAAGTTGATAAGCATAAAGTGATTTTATGCTGCACCAGGCCACAGCAGAGCTCTAGAGATGTGTTTAAATCAACATCCTCACTTAAGCAATGAATGACTTTTACAAAAAGAAAGTTCCCCTGGTTGCTCACATTCTGTTGTGACATTCCATTTTAAGTATAAAAATGTTTCAAATGTAATAAATGTACCAATTTAAAATTCTACTCAGACTGATGATGCTTCCCAGAAAAAATGTAATTCAAAGTCCATTGTGATTACAGTAAAAGTTTAAAAATTCAAGGTAACTTTGAGGGCTGAAATAAAACATGGCTCTAGCAGTTTAGATAAATACTAGCACTAAGATAAATACTTACTACTCAGCAATGGAATTACACATTATTGAAGTCTCATACCTTGGTCTTATTTAACCAAAGGATATTTTATTCTTAATCAATAAATACAATATTAGTGCTAAAATCCAAAATACAGCTATATTTTAGGATTCTGAAATAATCACAAGAGGTAAGAAAACAATCAAGAAAATAAAAAAGTAAAGGCACAGAATTACTGTGCACTAACATTCTCGATCCCTGTCAGAAGAGCACCAGATCCACCTAGTGGAAATTTCCTTTATTACAACGACTCAAAAATGCCATCTTGTAAGCAATATCACAAGATATGCTGCTTGGTGGGAAAGTCAATGTGTTATTGTCACTGAATCACAGAATTTAGGGCTGGGAAGATTACTGCTAGGTTTCCTCCTGTCATGCAGGACTATTACTCTGGCTTTCACCACCTACTTTAAATTTATGAGAGGATGATATTTACACTGTTCATTTAGAGGGAGAGAGAGTTTTCTAATTTTTCTTATGTCATTAATTTTTTCTTTCTTCTAACTAAATTAAATGTGTCTTTTTTGTGTAATATTTTTTTAAGCAATTGGATACATTACTCTGACACCTATCTGCTTTTAAACTTCAAACCTATAAAGTTCTGTCATGTTCCTTCTGTACTTCACAGCGGTGTTGGTAACAGTATTAAATTCTATTACTGCTATATTTAAACTCTCTGGTGAACTTTTTCTTGCAGAGAAATATGAAGGACACTTAAATATATGTTTTGGTAACATGTCTTTTTTACAACTGTAAAACCACTTTCAAACAATTTTGTATTTAAAATTAATCTCAGGAATACAGGCAGGAGTCGGTGATCCTGCATGTATGACTGTCTTTAGCACATAAGACAGCATCATCAGATTTCATTGCTTCTTTGCCATATATATACTTACTTTCTCAGAGAACACTAGAAAAATGTTTATAAAGTTTTCTAGGCCTCAAATGTAAAGCAGCTGAATCCACAAGACATGCTGAGCTATACTTTCAGCAACTGCTTGGTTTGACTGCTGAACATAGAATTAATATTTATGATCTTGCTGTGAAGTTTACAAATTATCATCATATACAAAATTTATCCTTACGAAGTGCAAATGGGTTCAAATCTGTAGGTATAGCTGTAAAGAGCACAGCCCTTATAAAATCAGGTCTGTGTTATTTGAATGGAATTTATCTTGCCTGAATTAAAAAACCACAGGTCCTGGATAAAACACAGAAATTTAAATCGGAAATTGGAAAATCTATTTTACATGGGATTATTCTGGAACTTTTCAGCATACTGACTGGTCAGAAAAAATGAGGTTATTAACTTTATTCTTTCTATTCATAACTAGGAGCGTGGATTTAAAAAGACATGGTAAAAGTTGTTCTCTCTTGTGGTACAAATGCCATAGAAGTATGAGCGACATAGTTGCAGGACTGAAAAAGCCAGACATATGATACATGGTGTTCCTAAGGAGTAGGCAGCATTCAGCAGTCTGGTACATCCAGTGGCTGTTAATGATAAAACGTGTTGATATACGATGGTGTGCTACAATTACTTTCTCAGAACATAGTGAGACTTTCAAGCACGTTTCCTCAAGTAAGAAACAGGTTTCTAGGGGAAACAGGTTTCATCTCAGGAGTTTTGATACTGGGACTATTTTTTAATTATTATTTTTCCTGTGTATCACAATTTTAAGAAAATAATTTCTATTGGATTTTCTCAACTAAAAGTCCAAATACAGATTCAGAGTAATATTAATTTTACAGCATAAAAAATGTTCACAACAGAGATCTCAGTACTCATGTCAAGGTCCCTTTAATTAACAGGGAAAAATAGGCACCTTTAAGGCATGACTCATTTGATATAATTTAGGCTTTTGCTTTAGGACTAGATGAATCACATAAGAGAAATGGCTGCATATCTTCAATGATTATAGCAAGAAGCTAGACATGTATCTCCTATGACTGAGCTGTAAATATGAATTTCACTGATATAGTCAGAAATTGAAATTTTATCCTTCCATTGTTCCTCCTTTTGCTAAAGCAGAACACAATTTAGCATGTTCAATATAGATCAAAGAAAATATTATTGATTTCATTCCAATTTCAAGTGATCACCTAGGTACATGAAATAAACTTTCAAGATGATTTTAAAAAATATTTAGATATTTTAAAATTATATAGATTTTCAAATGCAATTTATTTTTAATTTTTTATAATAATTTTCAGAATTTTCTTTTCATAACTGTGACACAGTTATGAAAAAGAGCGTCTGCTTCATAAAACAATTAATTTTAGTAAAAACAAAATAATCTGGACAGTTCCAGTTAATCCATGATAGCATACTGTAGGACCAATCATCACAAGGAACTTAGAAATTAATACATGCGTAGGGAAAACATAGTTTTCTCTAATAATGCAATGTCTTGCTCCACTTCCACCCACTTAATGAGTGGAATATGCAAAATAATTAATATAATGGGCACATGAAAGACACAGTTATGAATTTTGCCCAACATTGCCCTTTATAATAATATAGTATTAGTTGCCCTATATAGTTATAGGCCTAATTAGTTATAGTTGACCTATACAATAATTTAGTAAAGTTGGGCTGTAAACCCTTTTGAACTTCAATCATTTTGGCAATGGCTGGTTAGAAGATGCACTCTAAAATATCAATAATGTAACTGAGGGTTCTTCTGCTTATCTATGAGAAGAGAAACTGGTTGAGTTAGAGCTCTCCAAGAACACTGTTATCCTTGTTTTTTATTGCTTATCCTATAATATCATATGAAGACTGGCAAAAGAGAAGTCTTAAAAAATAAAAGCCAGGGGAGGGAGGCCATAAGTAAATTAAACATAACACAAGAAGCAAACCAGGATAACATAGATATAGATATAGATATAGATATAGATATAGATATATAGATATATGTATAATTCAATGTACATATAGGTATACATTGAATTATACCACCCTGCTAAAAAATGATTGTGTAACTTTTTTTTAATACTGCTTTGTATATAGCTTCACATATAAACTGAACAACTCAGGGTATCCTACCACCAGAGACATTTGAGTGCACACATTTTAAACATTCCCAAGAGCCTCATGGCAAAGCAATGCACTGAACAAGCATGCTGGGTTCCTAAAGTATCAGTAAGCTTCACAAGGAAATACCAGAGAATTCCAAATTTTCACCTGCTGGCAAGACACCTTTGGTGAAAGCACCAAAGGCATAAGACCTGCAGACATGTCCCAGAATGTCCATTGCACTGACTGGTGTTTGTTCTGTCTGTACCAGGACCACTTACTTGTGGCATGTCAGCTAAACTGGATTAGGAACTCGGGTGGGAAACTCACA